TTTTGTGTGTCAATTTTGGTCCAGGATGTGGTGAAAGGCAAGCGCTACACAATAGAAGGAAGAACCAAGGTTTTTTTTTTTTTTTTTTTTTACCAAGCAGAGAACCCGAAAACAACAGCAACATCTACTCAAAGAACATCACAGACTTTTTTTTGGAAGGTAAAGCATCTGGTTTCTCTACTACTGAAGTAGATTGTTGTCATGGCTTATTAAAAAATGCTTTAGACACAGAGATGTAGAATAATGAATATGCTTAATAAATATGGTTCGATGCTTAATAAATACTTGAATACAGTTTGTTCTATAAATACTAAATAAATACTTTTCTTTGGTTCGATGCTTAATAAATATGGTTTTCAGGTTCTGCTTATGACCTTGCAAAATGCTCCACCAGGGCTCGATTACGAAAGAGATAGGAAGTTTTCAAGGGTATATACTCTCTTGGTTTCAGTCAATACTTTTACATCCTGGTGAGATTTTTTTTGGCTTATTATCATCTCAGTTTTGTCCTCTTTTCATGGTATTTTCAGTCTTTCAAGCAGATGATTGCTAGCTGTCTAGTTAAAGTCCCTTCCAAACGCCCATCTGCCAATAAAATTGTCAAACCATTCTTTTTTTAAGCAAGCAAGGTCAAGCGACTACATTGCTCGGAAACTTCTGGCAACAAAAGGTTGACTATATAGAACTAAGTATATATCTCTCTTAGTTTTTCAAAATTATCAACCATCATCTTATGAAAGAACGGATGGTTATTTGTTTTCTACATACAGAAAAAGGAAGAAGATATGGTTGCACAAGAGAAAATGGCAGATGGAGAGAAGGAGGAACTGTCGCAGGTTTGTGTTTTCTAGTTTTCTCTATCAATGTTTAAATCTTTTAACTTTCCAGTTCTAAATAATTTTCAGAGTATTTGGCCTTTAATTTATTGTCATAGTAACATGCAGAATGAATATAAGAGAGGTATCAGTGGGTGGAATTTCAATCTCGATGACATGAAAGCCCCAGCCTCATTGGTATAAGTTTGCTCTCAAAGTAGCTATTCTCGATATGTTTCCTTTTTCTATCCATGTTTGTTATTTTGTTGATGTATAAGGGTTCTTTATTACCTAATCTCTGCAGGAGGATATTGGTCACCTGGCAAAATAAGCATCATCTCCAACCCCTAATTCACCGAACTCTAAGTATCGCGAGGTATCTATTTTGTTCTCTGTTTGGGATTTTCATTTCCTTGTCTACTACGTATCCGGAACTAAGTATAGGTTTATAAACTAAATTAATAATGTTTTGGTTGATCAGGGATATAAATCTGATGATGATTCAAGTCTTGCCAGCCCGAGTTATGATAACTACGTGTATTTACTCTCCCCGTCATGAGGATCTATCTTTAAATAATACAACAGTTACAAGTAGTGCGCATGCGAGTAATGGATTCCACAACTATTGCAACCAAATCATCCAACAGAAATTCCAGCTGGCAATTGTGTCAATAAGGGAGACAGGTTAATAATCCCTTAACATGTATACTCTGCTTTTGTAAGAGCTTTTTGTTTGGCACACATTTTTAGTCTTATTGTTTAACCGTACCTGCTTAAGTCTTTGAAGACCTGAGGTTCAATTTTCTTTGATTAGAGACCAAAAAAACTGACTTCAACACTTATATTCACTGACTATACATGTACTCTGTATGTGAGATTAAAAGCTAAAATGTTTAACTTCCAGTGATAAAACCAAATATCAGCTTCAAAATGGGGCACATCCTACACTGGGAGGAGATGAAGTACCACCAGAGATGGCTGTTAAACCACCCAAAGCAGCAAGTAAGTATATATGTTTGAATCCAATCTGTGTATCAGTGCTTTTTCTAATTAATTAAATGATGAACTGGTGGTCTCAGCGAGCATAGATGAATCTGACGACAAATCAAAGCCGCCAGTTGTGCAGCAAAGAAGACGTTTTAAAGTAACTTCTGAAAACCTCGACATCGACAAGGTAAACTCACTCCATTTTCATGGTTTAAAGAGGGAAAAAACGGTTTATTTGTTTGGATCTTTCCTGATACACTGAGACTCTTTTTCCCTGTTCATAATTTTTGCTTAAACCATTGGGTTGTTGTAACATTATAGATGTGGATGGTTACAATCAAGTTATGTTTACTTTTTTGTAAAGTTAGAAACATTTAATCAAACCAACAAACACTTGATGAAACTTTTGCGGTCAATGTTTGCTATATAGGAAACATGCAGATGTGGCACTAAGGTGTATTATACACCGTGTATGCAAGCTCTTGCCCGACTAGTCCAAGCTCATTGCTCCTTCAGATGGACAAGAGAACCATCTGAGCAAAGGATGATGGATGATTAATGCTAAGCAAGCTGAGGTAATGATACTCTATATCAGATAAAGACATGAAGTTTTGAGATAAACTGCATCTAGCTAAATTTAGAAACTTTGCATGATGTTTTGTGTAGATGGGTTGGTGTGACAGCAACCTATAAAGTGTAAATGAAGTGAGAACAAAATGAGGCAAGAAGGAGCAACAATCAAGAAGAGAGAGCTATGGTATATGCACTCAAACACCAGGTATAATGGGTCCAAAAGTTTTAAAATTAACTCTCTCTCTCTCAAAGACATTTGTGTTTACTGAGTTTGTCTATATTTTGATATCCGAGGAGGACATGTCCAAGTCCAAACGCTAAGGCAACCAACCAAACAAGGGAGTGTGGTGATGGCGCCTTCTCTCAGGAAAACAATCAACACGGTATGTTGGTCGAATTAAATTACATTATTAGCATTTACAACTTTATTTCTGTAATCAACTTACTGCATTTTTTTGAATTCAAATTTTTTTTCTCTGTAGGTGGGAGCTTCACAGGAAGTAAAAAAAATGGAATCCTCTTTCTT